GTATGCCAAGGAGAAAAGCCTCAGTAGAAACCAAACCTATTGACATCTTGATTTTGAACTTCTAACATCCCAAATTGTGAGAAAATAAATTTCTGTTGTTTAAGCTACCTGTTCTGTGGTATTTTGTTATGACAACCCTGGCAAACTAATACACACCCTTTGACCTTTATCCCACTCTTCTCTCCAGAGGTAACAATGACCAACAGGCTCTTTCAGAATTATTTCTTATGCTTTCGCACACACACACACAGAGTGATATAGGAAGTTTGTTTGCATAGATGGGATATTTTGAGCATATAAATATTGCTCTGTGACTTGCCTTTTTTCATTTATTAGTATGTCATCGATAGCTTTCCATGTCAGTCCTAATAGAGAACTACCTACCACATTCCTACTGAAATTCATAGTTTGCCATTGTATGAGTATATCATGACTTATTTTTAACCATTTCTTATTAATGTGGCGGTTGCCCTATTATGATGACTTTAGATTGCTTTCATTTTTTTGTATTTTATCATCAGCAGTGATGTTGTAAATATCTTTGTATATTTGTGGTTAACTCATGTGGTAATACATCTGTAAAAATAATCTTAGAGATAGATTTAACTGGGTCAAAGAGCACATGTATTTAAAATTTGAGATTTCTGACAAATCGCCTTCCACAAAATCTTAAACAATTTCTGGTAATACTGATTTATATAAGACTCTCATTTTCTTTATTCTTTTATTTTTTTATCTTCCTCTTTATGGGTGTGAGTGTACAGATATACATATATATATATGCACACACACACATATATATAATACTTTAAAAAATAATAATGATTTTATTTTATTTTGAAATCTTCCTTCAGTATTTTAGTCATAAGCATGGTTAGTCCTTATTTCCAGACTTTCTGTATAGAATCATTCTTTTGGGGAAGTTGATGCTACATTATCTGCCATTGTTACCAAGTCTGGGTATAGGAAATTGTGGAAATATACAAGCCTTAATATAGCCCTGAACATTTTGCTCCTGTTTGGAGGTGGAAGTGAGAATTCTCTTTCCCTGGAAATGAGTGAATAAATGTTTTTTTTTAAAGATTTATTTATTTATGCATATGAGAGCTGGGGTACAGGCCAGAGATGGAGGGTGGTGAGAGGATTCACCAGAGACAGAGTGGGGAGCAGAACAGGCAGACTGACTGAAATACACTGCTGAGGGCGAGGTAGGAGAGGTCTGCTGCGCCATGTGGGCTTCTCCCTGGCTGGCCGGGGATCGAACTCGTGCTGCAGAGGCTGCGGATTTCTTCGTAGTGTGGTGCTTAACCCCTTGCGTCACCAGGGAGGCCCTGAATAAATGTTTTGAAATAGTTTGCTGAGTTATTCCTATGAAAGTTAACTTCCAATTTTCTTTTGGAATCTAGTTAAATTATTAAAATAACATTCAAACCCAGTAGGCTAACTAAATGCTTGTTAAATTGCACTGGAGTGTATATTAGTCTGCTTGGATTACCATAACAAAATACCACAAATTTGGTGGTTTGAAGAACAGAAATTTATTTTCTTATACTTCCAGAGGCTGGAAATGTGAGATTAGCATGCCAGCAGGGTGAGTGTCTGGTGAGGACTCTCCCTTTGGGTTGCAGAGGGCTGCCTTCCTGTCGTATCCTCACAGGACCTTTATGAGATGTGTGTGTGTGCATGTGTGTGCAGTGGTGAAGAAGAAGTTTTTGTAATCTCTTATAAGGACAATAAACCTTATAAGATCAGTCCCTTCCTGGGATCTCACTTAAACTTCTTTACTTCCTTAGAAACTCCATTTTCAAATCCAGCCACACTGGGGTGTTAAGGCTTCAGCATACATATTTTAGCAAGATACAAATATTCAGCCTGCAACAAAGGTTTATTTTCCTCCTTGGTGGACCTGAGAGAATATGACCCACTTCCCTACAAAGTGAGCTCTACAAAGTGAGACAATATGGATGATTTGGTTGGGATAATGTCTCCTTTTTAACCATTTCACTTGGAATACTATAAAATTATAAGAAAAGATAATCAGGAAATAAAGTGAAGTAAAACATTGTTTTTCCTCATTTATTGATGAATGTGTGTGGGAAATTTAATCTGAAGTCAATCTAACAGGTAATTGTTGATCTCTTGCCATGTGTAAAATATTGTCTAATAGCTGGGAGCAGAAGAAAAAGAGTGTCATGGTGGATGCTTCAAATGCTCATGCTTTAGTTCAGTAGTTACCAAATGTGGCATCAGATTCCACTGGGAAATAGTTTAAAGTATTCAGATTTGATAAAACTGTGTTGAAAACCTTTTTGGTAGTGTCTTCTAAAGCTAAATATATGCCTACTCGGAACCTCTCTGGTGGCGCAAGGGTTAACATGTGACCTATGAAGCAATCCGCAGCCACTGCAACATGAGTTTGATACCCCCTGCCATCCAGGGAGCAACCCACCTGGCATAGCAGACCTCTCCTGTCTCGCCCGCTGCTCCCCTCAGCAGGGTACTTCGGTCAATCTGCCTGTTCTGTTCCCCACTCTGTCTCTGGTGAACCCTCTCACCCCCATACCTCTGGCCTGTACCCCAAATCTTGTATGCATAAATAAATAAATCTTTAAAATATATATATATATATATATATATGCCTACTCTTAGATCCTGTCTATCTGTGTACCCAAAAGTAAAGTGTGTGTGTGTATGTCAAAAGATACATAAAAGTATATTCATACAGCACAATTTTTTTAAAGATTCATTTATTTATACAAGAACCAGGGTGCAGGCCAGATGCGCATGAGGGTGAGAGGATTCACCAGAGACACAGTAGGAAACAGAACAGGCAGACTGACAAAATACACTGCTGAGAGGAGCAGCGGGCGAGACAGGAGTGGTCTGCTTTGCCATGTGGGATTCTCGCCGGCCGGCGGGATTGAACTGGCGCTGCAGAGACTGTGGACAGCTTCACAGTGTGGCGCTCAACTGCCTGCGCCACCAGGGAGGCCCACAGCACTATTTTTAATAACCTTTAGAGGCTCAGGAATTTTTTGTTTGAATAACTCCTTGGGATTCTGGTGTATTTAGATACAGATCTTTTTGGGAATTACTGCTTTTATGAAGACAGCTTTAGTTCTCCTTCCCAAGATCTTATCTCTGTGTATGTACTAGGGAGGGATTTTTGTGGTGATCATTAATGCACCAGGGATTTGTTTTGGAGATGTTCAGAGAAAGTCATTGGCGGTCTAATGCATTGACTGCCAAAGTCTGATCTGGCACCTGCTTAAAGAGAAATAAGCATTTTCTCAGAGCAACATAAAGAGATGGGTGGGTCAAAAGGTAGATGTTGCAGTTTACTTAAGAGACTTGATTGTTGTGTTTCTATTCTAAAATTGTTATATTTGAGCAAACAAGAGGTTAGCTGCAAAGCAGCTGGTACTAGAGGAATATACTAAGTATTTCATGAGGATTTTGTTTGACAAATTATGACATGCAGAACTGATAGATGAGATTAATAGTATTGGTTTCTTATCATTCATGGAATCATAAAACAAAGAAAGGAACAGAGGTCACTGTTGTGAATGTGCTAATGGAGAGGAAAAATATTAATTCTTATGAATAAAGGAGGAAAACTCTTTGACAAAGAGTTTGACTTCTTGGTAATCAGTAAAGGAACTTCGAACATCAAGTAGACACCAAGCAGTATTAGATTCCATTTGACTCTTTTCCCCTCTTTTTCTCATTTGTCTCCTGCTGGAGTTTACCAATGAGATAGTCATGAAACAACTGTAGAGATTTAAAGTCTTCACATTAGAGTGTGACGCAAGTATCATAACTGTTGGATAGAGTCTTCCAATTTGAGGTAGAAACAACCAGAGTCAAGTGTTATTCAAACTCCAAGATCCTCATAAGAAATATATTTTACTTTGTAACATAGTACACACACACACACACACACACACACACACGACAGACATATCTGAAACAGACTGATCAAAAATGCTTGCCTTACTGCAAATGAGTAACTTATTCTCTACTACTCTACTATACTATTTTGTTTCTCAAGATGTAGTGATTGTGGTTCACTAAATTGATTTCATAATCCATTAATGGTTGTCAGAAGCAGTTTGCAAAGCACTTCCTATATCCTGTCCATCTCCAAAAATGGAGGCACAGAGAAGCTAAGTGACTTACCCACTGGGACACAGAAAAGAATAACAAAAAAGAAACTGGTAGAAGAGAAATTTTTGTTTTTGTTTTTTCCATTTCTTGTCAGGGAGGAATATATATCCCAGATCTATTGAGAGCTCAGGATTTAGAGACACACAGGTATAGGTATAAATTCTATCTACAACCCTCTCTAGTTTTGTGATTTATGGACAAGAAGCTTCTCCATGAATCTGCTTCCACAACTATGAGATAGGAGTAATAATAATAGCAATTGTATAGAATTGTGTGGATTTGGTAAGTGGCTCACGTGAAATATGTGTGTGTTAGTTACACAGTGTCTCAAGCATGGTAAGTACTCAATATATTTTGACATTGTGATGATGATGGCCATTAGGAAGTCTAGTCCAAGGGAAATTCTTGTGGAAAGAACCCTGAAAATTCAGGAAAGACCAATAGAAACCACCTGCAATTAAATGTGAAAAGAGCTTTATTTGGTTACCATAGATTTCCAGGTCTGTGGGGCATTCACAGGACACTAACAAACCAGGCTTTAGGTCCTGAAGACCTAGAAGTCCTGGTGGTTTTAACATGATGAGCTAAATAAGCACCATGTATGACCTGTTAGCCTCTACATTCTCTCGTAATGAAAAGGTTTTCAACTTGATATGAACTTTCCCTTCTGCTAATCACTTTAAACAGCCTTCTGATCATATACAAACATCACCACCTTCTTGTCTGGAATGGGGGAAAATATCAGTTCGCACCAAGAAGTCATTTTACATTTTTGGCTTGCTTTACCAACATTTATAACCACTCACCTGTTAATGATACTTCCAATGTAACAGAGCATCTTGCCTGGATTGGAGCTGGATTGGAGCCAGATATTGATTTGCAAAAAGGCCAAGAGCCTCCTGGAACAGAAGACTTGGATCCTGACCACCATTGCTTCAGACACCTTAATATACTGAAGATATCTATATAAAGTCAGACAGCAGAGAAATGAGTGGGGCACTTGAGAGCATACGTGCTCTAAGAGAGAAAAGAGTCTGCCATAGCGAGGCAAGTCCAGTAGCAAGACCATAATGTTTTATGGAGTGGTTACCCCTGGTGTACCACAGGGACTGCTACCAAAATTCATCTTGGTGGTTGGTAAGGGCCCCCAGTAAAATGTTTTTGTCTAAGTTAAAGGTAAGCTGTCCAGAGCAATTTGTGGATAAACCAACTTTTCTACAGAACATCTGTAACCCCCTCTCATTTTTCTAGTTTTAGATGAAAAACTATCACACAGGATGGTGTGAACTGGGTCAACTGTAATTGCCTAAATTGTCAATAAAGTGCAAATGATTGAGCTGGACTCAGCTCTTAATATTTTGAGGTTCAAGTCATTTTGCTGCAGCTTCTTTTCCTCCTAAGTGATTCAGAAGCTCATATTCATGACTTTTTAAAAAAAGATTTATTTATTTATGCATACAAGAGCTGGGGTACAGGCCAGAGATGAGAGGGGGGTGAGAGGATTCACCAGAGACAGAGTGGGGAGCAGAACATGCGGATCCACTGAAATACACTGCTGAGGGGAGCAGTGGGCAAGACAGGAGAGGTCTGCTGCCCCATGTGGGTTTCTCTCTGTCGGCTGGGGGATCGAACTCATGCATCAGAGGCTGCGGACTGCTTCATAGTGCGGTGCTTAGCCCACCAGGGAGTCCCTATTCATGACTTCTTTATAGATCTTTTTAGGTACCTTTGTAGGTTCCAGCATATAAACTTGAAGGGGAGATACTAAAAGATTGGACTTTCCCGTGATCAAGCAAATGGGAGACTTGGAGCTGGCAAGATTTTGATACTAATGCTATTACTGTGTTTGCTCTAAAGGTGAATGAGGGCTGAGCTATTTGGACCATATTAGAAGACTCATAAAAAGAATGCTGACTTCTTAAAAAAAAAATTTCAGGTCCAACACTCATTAAACTCAGGCCCTATAGCCTGTATTTTAGAAGTACTGAAAAGTACTGGTACAGTGCTAGTATATAGTAGGTGCTTAAAAGTTTGTTGGGTTTTTTTTTCAGTTGCTCAAAAATTTAGGGTAAAATTTGTTTCTGATTTCATTCTTTTGTGACATAAAGGCTTAGAGTGCGTGTTCGTGGGCTGTGGTTTTTTTCTTGCAATAATCAAATTCTTTGCTCTGACTCATATTAACAGGAAGACTGATGAAATATCTTTTCAGCAGTAACCAGAATGTGTTCTTTTCTTTATTACTTAAAAGTGCAGTAGATTCCCTAGTAGTGAAATCAGATATTGCCAAGGCTGAACAATGATAGAAAATAGTGAAACATTTTCTTAGAGAACTATGGTGAAACTTGTTTCCCCCTCCTCCTTTTTTAATCAGAGAAATGGTTAGAAGTGTAGCAACAATTATACAATGAATTAGTCTTTCTGAAAAATGTGTCTACCTGCTTGGAAGACTTTCCAAGTGAGTTACAATTATCACTAGGAATAAGCTATCCACAATAAGTATTTGTATTCTGATGCAGAACAAATATAGAATATCTGGAAAATTCACTAATTAGATACAATTGTTAGTGCCCCCTCAACCACATTACCCTATGAGTTGAGTCTCAGGGGTTTTGCTTTGTTTATCTATTGTGTAAAATACAAAAACTTTTATTACCTTCTGAGAATTTGAAGCTGTGTTGTTATTGGAGTAGGCAAAGGGAGAGATGATATCACCAGATTTTTATTCCTTTTGAGAAGCCAGTGAGTAATCTGGGTGTGTCAGTTTCGCTTAAGTTTTGGTCTAAGAACATGTTCCCATTTGAGATTTTTATTCCAAATTCAACAAGTTATTACTTAGCTAATGTCTCTGAAATAAACTATAAAGTCAGGTATATGAAGTAAAACTTTTCATGTCAATCTCTTTTATTTTAATATGGCAACTAAATTGAAGATTAAGATTTAAAATGCGGTATTTGCTCATGTATGTCTCTCCACCTTTTTTTCCACTCACCATACTCCTCTACTCATTTAGGCTGGAGGAGAGGAAAAGAAACTAGAATATGAGCTTCCTTGTTTTCTTTTTCTTTTTTTTTAGAGGCATTTTATTTATTTATTTGTTTGTTTGTTTGTTTTGTTTATACATGCACTGGGTACAGTCAGAAGCGCGGGAGGATGAGAGAATTCACCAAAGCCAGAGTGGGGAGCAGAGCAGGCAGAGGGACCGAAGTACACTGCTGAGGGGAGCAGCGGGCGGCAGGAGAGGTCTGCGCGCCATGTGGGACCCTCCTCTAGTGGCCGGGGAGCAGCCAGGGATCGAACCGGCGCTGCAGAGGCCGCGGGCAGCTTCGCAACCCAGCGCTCAACCGCTGCGCCACCAGGGAGGCCCAACCTTCCTTGTTTTCAGTCATAGTTCCCTAATAGGTGCTATTTGCTGAGTGCCTACTTTAAACTATGCATTATACTACCAATATCCTCTTTAATCACTCATTACAGCAACTTTCTGTGGAAATTGCTAGTATTGTACTCATTTCCCTGATGAGACCAATAAGGCACAGAGAGTATAAGTTGGAGACTGATTTCAACTGTTTCAATTCCACTTAATTCCCAAATATCCACTCTTTTAAAACATGAAGTGTCCTTAGTAAATATTTGATCACTTCTGACTCTTGCATTCCCACAATACAGAGCACATAACTAAGTTAGACACAAAACCAGGACCTTCTAAGCCCACTCTGACATCAAGTTTAACAGAAGAGAAGAGAGGATCTTTTAGTTGTAGGAGAAAAGGTAGGATGGAGTGGGGAAAACAGAAGAAAATAAAAGCCAAGTAGAAATGAGGTCAAGGCAAGAGAAAGAGGTATTTAGGAGAATATATGAAGGATGAAAAGGAAGGATTAATTTCACTTCTTACCAAAAAACCAGGAATGCCCTGATACTTGGTTGCTCCAAATATATGGGGGATATTTCCTAGTCTTTTCACAGGAAGATCCATGAACATTCTGCTCTAGAATTTTTATCATTTTGAAATGTAAGGAATTTTGATAATCATAAGGAATGAATAAGAGAGGCTACTACTTGTGTCCACTTACCTTTTCTGGCCACTTGTTCCTCCCTTCTCTTTAATTCTCCTTTTCCTTTATTCTTACTGATACCTTTTGCTATATTCAAGTTATAGTTATTGTGTACCTACTGTACCCAAGATAATGTGGGTATGAGACACAATGGGAAAGTTACTATAATCTAGTAGAGGAAATAAGATATACATACAAATAATTTTGATATAAAAATAATAATGCATGTGAATAAGGGTAGAATGTACTGTGAGTATTAGAAATCCCTCCCTATCAAAGGGAATAAGGTTCTTATAAGCTAATTTACAATGAAGTTCTGGTGACAAGTTAAAGTATGATAGATGGATAAGAGATACTGGTAGTGGTGGTGAGGTGAGTAGGTCTTTATGCCTCCATTTCAGGGCTTAAACGTTCATCTATTCACTGGTGCTAATATGTAAGTTTTTGTAACTAGGTCACAACGGGGTTAGTATAGAACATTGGAGTGAGCATTTAGAAAGTTAATTAAAAAGTGACATTTCTGGTGGCATCAAGCACACGATCAGTGTACTCTTTTTGAAAAGAGTAGGCAACGTTAATTGTTGAATTCACTTGGGAGTTGCATTGGCATGAGCTACATGCAAATCATGTGTAGGTTTATATACATAATATATGCATGTATGTGTGTGCTTGCATATATATGTATGTGTGTAAGTGTATGTACTATATATTATATAACATACATGTATATTTTATAATATATAATATACATGCACATGCATATATCTATATATATGTTTTCAGACAGAACAGAATTGATAGGAAAACAAGCATCACACAAATAAACAAAATCTGACCCCCCATCACGGAATGTTGAAAGTCTGATCTGTACGATGTGAATGTTCTCAGTTCAGTAGTAAGTTTATTTACCCTATTCATATATACTAACGTTGCTATGTTTTTCTCATGTATAATATAGGCTGAAGATTTCTAATCCTTTTCCATAAATTATTTTTCCCCTAAATGTTCTTTTAGCCTAGTTCTATTACCTCAGTGAAATGAAATACTGCAATGCAAAAATCACTAGGGCATCAGAGCTACTAGAGTATGGTGCCTTCAACAGCAGTTAAGTGTTGAGTTGCTTCAGATGTACTATTTTCCTTCTGGGGAGCTTTTTTTTTTTTTTTTTTTTTTAAAGATTTATTTATTTATTTATACAAGCACTGGGTACAGTCAGAAACGCGGGAGGATGAGAGAATTCACCAGAGCCAGAGCAGGGAACAGAACAGGCAAACTGAGGAAGTACACTGCTGAGGGGAGCAGCAGGCGGCAAGAGAGGTCTGCGTGCCATGTGGGACCCTCGCCCAGCGGCCGGGGATCGAACCAGCGCTGCAGAGGCTGCGGGCAGCATCGCAACTCAGCGCTCAACCGCTGCGCCACCTGGGAGGCCCCTGGAGAGCTTTTAATGCACTGATTTCTGAACTCTAACTACTTGGACTCCTTAGCCCTGACTTGCAGTTATTTTACTATCCTTGGCATCTGCTTTCAGCTTCCAACTTGGTCTTTAAATTACCCATTTCTGCACTTACTTTTCCATTCTGCTTCTGATTTCTCTTCCAAGGTTATGGAGAACTGACCCAGTTTTTCAATTTGGTGTCTTCAACTAATTCCTTTTTTAACTCTGAGCACATTGCTTCATTGTCTTTTTTCTGAATCACAAGTCTGAATCACAAGTCTTTTCTGAATCACAAGTCTTTTCCTCTCACTTCCAGGCAACTATAAAATAGTATTTGTTAATATTTATTGCAAACTCCCTACTGTACAAGTCTTTATGCTAGCTACTTGAACCATAGGCTCTCACGCAGAGGTAGGCTTCTTACTATGGTCACAGAGTCATGTAAGGTTATAAAGCGTGCTAGTGGCAGAGCCAGGATTTGAACCCAAATAGGTGGACTCAAATCCACATAGCCCAGGATTCCAGCTGTGAAGTCCCTTCTGTTTTGGCAAATGCATTGTTTTTGTAAAAAAAAAAAAATAAAGTTATGTTCTCTTTTATTTTTAATACCTTTATGAGGACATCTAATAAGTAATAAGTGCTTCCCCCCCACCCCCACATTTGTCTCTTATGGTCCCGAAGCAAAATGAATGTAAACTTTCAGCTAAAATTTCTATTCTTTTCTTTCTTTTTCTCTTAATTTATTTTGAAGTATTATTGATTTCCATCACTGTATAGCATTCAGAGGAATAGGTTCACACCTCCTCAAATGTGCATCACCACACCCTACCCACCCAGGGCACCCGTATCCCCTTACCTGCTA